TGTTTGTTTTTACTTGTTTTACTGGCTTTTCATTCACAAACACTTCAAGGTAACATTTAGTTTGGTTAGTAATTTATAGAAAACCCATTGGGTATAATTTCCTTTGCTAAATTAGCGCCAGTTGTTTTGATTTACTGAAAGATTGGAAAAAAGGTTGAACTGTGTTCACTTTGAATACCTAATTATGTGCAAGAGAAATACAAAAAAATAAAAAAAAAACAGGATTTTTACTAGCACATGACTGGTTGTTTCAAGTGAACACAGCTTTTCCTTATTTAATCAGTACAGTGAAAATGTATTTTTTAAGTGAACACTCCCTTTAATCAACCCCGCCGAGAAGTGTAAGCATTTGCTTCAGGCTTGTTAAAATAGATAGAAACTTTGAATGTTTAAAATTTCACTTTCTGCTGTTCAAGGTAAGACATATGCATTTTTTTTTTATTTTTCTATATGCAGAGGAAAATTGGCAGCAAGTAACTGTTACCCATTTTATAATTTAAATAAAATACATTCAACCTATAAAATCACAAAACCATGAAAAATTTTATAGGAGATGTGAATTATAGTCAGACAGAAAAATATCTTTGGGAAGTTTGCAGTATCTTGTGTTTGCCTCTGATTCATATTTATGCATGTTGGAAACTATTTTGAACACATAGAGGAAAGCGTCGAGCTTTTAAAATTATCAGCAAGCAAGTTATAGCACATATTATATTGGAAAAATGTAGCCTCAGCAGATACAGTATTCTGAATGATTGCAAACTGAAATGATAGAAGTAAACGTGAAAGCTGGCAAACATTCTGTAAAAAGAGGTAAAGCAACAAATGTAACACAGATCATCCAGCACAAGATGATAGATTTTGACACTTTGTTATATAACATGCCAGGCTAGACATTGAATCCTGTGTAAAGTGCTTGACATACTATTTTTGCATTTTGACCCAGTAGATTCTTACATTTATATATTTAGGTACTAAAATATTTGTTTTCCTGTAAAATCAGTTCACTATTCAAACAATTAATATTATGTCATATATAGCAAATACCTAATACTTAAAATAAATACTTTTACTATATATAATGAGTGCTAACATATTTTAGGTACTTTTTTATGGTAATTGTAATGTCTCAGGCCACCCTGTCTCCTAACTGTTTCCATGAACCCCAATGGTTTCCTCTGCTCCCTGAAAGTAGCCCATCACGTCCTTAATTCCTATGTAAGGGGAGAAAAGCTGTCAGCCTGCAACCATCCTGTGTTTCTGGTTCCTACACATAGAACCCACCTGTCAGGAAGATACTTGCCATAGTGCAGCTGAAACCTCTGGACTTACACGGCGACCCAGGCGCAGATGTGCGAGGGCCAGTTCTGCTGTGCATAGTCGTTCACATTTGCATTCGCACACCTGCGACTGCCCATTGTTAATGTTGGCGCCAATGAGACTATTTAAAAACAGCAGCACTATTAGCCTGTGCTGTCTGATCCGCAGCTCCCCCCCCCACCCTTGTTTCCCGATGCCTGTTCCTGTGAGTGATACCTGTGATTGACCTCGGCTTGCTTCTAGGACTCTGCCTCTGCCTTCTGTATCTGCTTGATCTGCTCCCACTATTACTGACCTTGGCCTGTGACCTGACTACTCCTCTGCCTGCCTTTTATGCCTGAGCCGCTTATTTGTTACTGGCCCTGCAGAAAGCGTGCTAGCCTATTCTTTCTTGCTGTGACATTTGCCTGCTACCAGCCTGCTCCGCTGCCATCCTGCCCAGCTGTGACATCAGCCCGCTGCCAGCCTGCTTTGCCACCAGCCTGTTCAGCCGTGACATCTGCCTGCTACCTGCCTGTTCTGCTGCCAGCCTGTCCAGCTGTCCCATCTACCAGCGAAATGCCAGCGATTCCTGCACAGACTACAGGACTGACCAGGCACTCATACCCCGTCATGCTCTTGTGGTTGCTTTTTCACCTTCAGTGGCCCTCGAGTCAGAGCTGTATGAGAGGCCTTCCTCTGCCATCAGGCTCACAAGCAAGGTACATGACACCACCATTTCCACACAACCTATGTGCAGGGAGTTGGGTAGTTAGGCCCCTGTTGTGGCCTTCTGTCCCCTATTGCTGCAAGCTGCTGCCAGCTGCCATCCTGTTCCCTGGCATTTGCTCAAAGACTTCACCACTTCCGCACCACTTATGTACAGGGTGCTGGGCAGATTGATCCTGTGCTTTGCCTGCATGTGTCTCGGCAAGCATTTTGTGGCCTAAGTGCTTTGCAGTGCTTGTCAAAAACAAAGACTACACCCCTGAATGTGAAAGAGCTGGAGGTGAACAGAGCTTGTGGCCAGGACAATCTGACACCAAGCATTGGGTTGCATAGCTGCAGTATAACTCTCCAGCTTGGGTTTAAAAACACTACCAGAAGACAGGTAACTGTAGCTTGCTTCTGATATCTTGCTGCCTATGTGGACCCAAGGCTCCACCTCTCCTTGGACCCAGTGATTCCTGTACCTCCCTGGACCTGGCTCCACTGAGTATCTCCTTGGATGAACATCTCTGCTGACCATCTTCTCAGCTGACCATTTTCTCAGCTGACCATCTCCACTGCTGAATATCCACTGAACATCTTACTCCATTAAGGCTGTGGCAGACACTCCCAGTGTGAGCAATTTTCCCATTTTGTCGGTATCATATTGCTTCCTTTCCCTTGCTGTGGATTCTTACCTTGTGATCCTGGATCCTGCCTTTGTGAGCAACTGCCAGTGGCAATCAAGAAATGGACAACTGACTGGAGCATTTTGTTTTTCTCATTTCATTTTCTTTACTGTACCATAGTTATGCCTACCTTTGCTGATTATCCCTTGCTGGGTGTAGACTGTTGTCTTGTTACCCTAGACCGGGTGTCGGCAACCCGCGGCTCCAGAGCCGCATGCGGCTCTTTTTCACCTTTGCTGCGGCTCCGGAGCACACTGCCCACCCGGTGACAGGCAATAGGGTTGCCGTAGCTCAGTGGTCGGCAAGCCGCGGCTCTTTTAACCTCCCTGGCGGTTTTCTCGAGTGTAGCTCGTGGTAGAATTTCTATACCACGAGCTACACTCGGGCTTACCATGCGGCGCTGCTCTGGGGGTCCCTGCAGCACTTACCTTGTCCTTCGTTCCCGCGATGTGTCCCCTGCAGCGTCCCCGGCCATCTCCTCCAGCCGATGCCGGCATCCGGCTTCTGTGTTCCAGTCCCCGTGACGTCGGGACGTACGGGCGCCGCCGGCGGCGGGAAATTTAAAAAATTTAAAAAATGTTTTTTTTTTTTTTTTTCAATTTTCAATAGTAAAACATTGCTGTTTCATCCCATTTCACATACATATTGTCCCGAGTGCTTTGTCCTGTGCCCTGCCTGCATTTTGTCTGTTCTTTCTGCCTGGAAACTTAGAAAAGTCCATGGCGTCCAAAATGCGTCCCTTTAGGTCAAAAGCGGTTTTAGACCGGCTAGAGAACAGCGATAGTAAATATGAACCACTTACAGAATTGAGTGATAATGATTTGTGGGGAAATTTTCCTAAAAATTACAGCCTACAATAAAAAACTATTTCCATGCGAAAAAATGGTACCGCTTTCAGCACAAAAAATCGGAAGGAATCATACCGCCAGGGAGGTTAATGCAGCTCTTCTGTGTGCCGGGCGCCCGCTCCCCTCCCTCCTCTCGGGCGGCCGCCCCAAAAGTCAGGACTCTGCAGCTAGCCTAGCAATGGGCAAAAACTACGGCCCGGCGGACCTTATAATCCGGCCCGCGGAGCGTGGCAAACATTGGCTGTCAGGATGTAGGCGGGGCAGCATGACGAACTCCTCTCCTCTCACAGTCCGCCCTGAAGACCAGAACTGCGCGGGAACACGGCGAGAGGAACGCGCGGAGTACAGGTAAGTGAATTGACACAATATGGAAATGAATTACTATAGGGGGGATGAATTACTATATGGGGGATGAATTACTATATGGGGGATGAATTACTATATGGGGGGGATATGGGGGATGAATTACTATGGGGGATGAATTACTATATGGGGGATGAATTACTATAGGGGGGATGAATTACTATAGGGGGGATGAATTACTATGGGGGATGAATTACTATATGGGGGATGTATTTTCAGTTTTAAAAATGTGGCTCTCAAAATAAATTTTAATCGTGGGTTTTGGCGAGATTTGGCTCAGTTGAAAAAAAAAGTTGCCCACCACTTAGGTCCTAAGGCTATGATTGTGATTATGATGATACACTGTGGCCCTGATTAACCCTTTGCTTACTGGGCCCTTAAACCCCCTTCATGACCAGAGCGCTTTTTGCAATATATGCAGTGTCGGATTTGTTTTAAATGTTGCAATGGTTTTGCGGCTCCCAGTCTTTTTTTCCCTCTCGGAAACGGGTCCAAGTGGCTCTTTATGTCTTAAAGGTTGCAGACCCCTGCCCTAGACCTAATCTTTTGCTGTACCCTATTGCTGCTTTTTCCTTGCCATGCATTAATTGTTAAACTTTGATTGCTACCCAACCACCCTAGACTTGCTCTTTGATGTTCCATATTGTTGCCCTATGTTTCTGTTGATTGCCTTTTGCTGCATGCTGTTCTGCTGTCCTGTCATCCTGCTACCTGTCCCTTTCTGTGCCAAGATTTCTCAGCAATGATTGCTGTCCTGTGTTAAATGTGCTGTATTGCCACCATATTTTTCTGTTAGTTACCATTTGCTGTGCCTTGGACTGATATACCCTGTGACCCTGAACTTATTCTCTATTATACCAGATTGCTTCCTTATGTACTTACCCCTTTGATAAACCCTCTGTTGGTTAAACCCCTCAGAAAGGGTTCTTACCAACTCTTGACCTCTATGTCTGCTTTGTTCCATCTCACATCTCCATCACATCTAGTTATTTACACATAATTAGGCAATAAAGTGCAAAAAAACTATCATTTTTACAATACATTAAAACATTTTATGCCAATATCACTGGGAATAACCTGAAAGGGCTCGGTAGCAGGGGTGGACTGACCATTTGGAAACTCGAGCACTGCCCGAGGGCCCGGGGTCAGTAGGGGGCCCCATGAGATGCCCCTGGTACCTTTTTGATAGGCTTTTTTGAGTTTGGGCAAGGATACAGGGGCCCCATGATCCCCTATTGCCCGGGGGCCCCATGAGTTGTCAGTCCGCCCCTGCTCGGTAGCATAGATTTCGTCAAGAAATAGCTTTATTCTTTGGTAAAATAGCCTTTGCCTGTAACCAGACTAAGGACAGTAAAGTATATATTCTTAACAATCAGTAATATAGCTTTACAACAAAACCTCATTCAACTCTGTAGTTATAACCACTGTAGAGAAATTAATCTTCAAAATTTACAGTGGAAGCTCTGAAATCCCAGCTCATCTCCCCTTCTCTTTCACAACATCAATGACTTGGCAGTCTGCCACCCTTCTACAAAAACATTAGGTACTGTAAGCTGACATATGTCTTCAGAATTTCTGTTGTGATCTTTCATTAAATGAATGACTTCACAGTACATGCATCTGCAAAGTGACGACTTGCTTTAAAGCTATTTTACTGTTTATTAAAAAGATGTAAATACTTTAATGTCTAAAGTCTAGACGCAGTTGCACTTTAAGATCATCTTCACAAAGATAAAATCTACTGCTAGTGATACGCACCCACATTTTGGATATGGGCACCACATAAAGAGTTACATGATCATTGTACATGTTTGGTGATGTGGCTGCCATATAAGTGACCTTTCAGTTTTGCCTACTCAGTATCAGAATGATTTAACTGGTCATCAAAAACAGACAAATTTTACGGCTAGTTGACAAATACATAACATGTTTAGCATGCAATTTACTAATGGAAGCAATTTGCTAATGGAGCTTTGCTTATTCAAACTCCAAATTGGTTAAGGAAGAAACTATAGGAAAATTTAAAAGACCATCATGTAATCTACTTGGATTTCCTTTTTTCCTTTTTTTTTTTTAAGATGAGTTTGTTTTTGTATTAGGCTTCTGTAATCACTAGCATAGTAATGGCTTGTTTACACTTGTGTTGGCCTCCGAAAAGTGATCTATACTGCTTCACCCTTTATAGAACATTTGAATGTCATTTAGGAGGCATTATGGTGGATTCAGTTGTGGTGCAGCCCCAGTCGACACAGCCCCATTTCAGTAATGCCTTTCAAATATGAAAATGGAGATACATTTTGCTGTGCCATGATCTTTGCATATGTACATGCCCCATACTCTGCCTTTGCAGCTTAAGGTGAAGCAGCTTGGGGGCAGTAAAAATGTGCCAGTGACTTTCAGTCGCCTGCTCTTTGCTTGACCTTCCAGCGCTCACTGGAGCACTGGGCTGTGGAGGGGTCAGGAGCGGCTGGATCAGGCTCACTGAGAGGCTGAGCAAGCTGCTGGTCCAGGCATCTGGGCAGATCCTGACTGTAAAGTCTGGACCTTTCCTGAGTCTGGACCAGCTGACTGACGTCAGTAGCGGGCTTTAGCCGAACAAACTGCACTTCTGTGGTCCCCAGGAGAAGTACAGCCAAAATAACTTTGGCTATACTTCTCCTTTAAGCTATTTGCCTACAAGTTTAAAGAAAACCTTTGCTAAGGAAAATACAAACACTGCTACAGCATACCTCGTTCTGAAAATGCTTGGTACATAGAACTCCAACTGATTCTTTGTCTTCCACAGTTTATAATGCATTGACCCAGAATAGGAATTCAGCAAATGAATTCAGAATAAAACCAGATTTCCTTACTTGTTCTGGGTCAGTGACTCAGAAAGTATTGAAGTGACGCTGTGTCATATAAACTATCTCATGACATGGCACTGTAACTTGCCCAAACCTTAATAGCATCATATGACAGTTCTAATGATTATCACATTCGGGTAACTGTCATCTGGACCAGGTACCTTTTCAGCTATAATCATGTTCAAATGTAGCTGTACATTATCAGATAATACACTTGATATGTTATGGCCTACATAATTATATACTCTATATATCCTGAATTTACTAGTAGTTTTATTCTTTTGTCTAAAAAAAAAACAAAATTAACATCTGAAACTGTGTTTCATGTTTTGCACTTGCCTAAATTGCAAATTTACAGTTTAGTGACCCATGATAGTCTTGTTTTACATCACTGCCTGCATCTGAACTTTTCAATTATTTAACAGTTTAAAAGATTTAATAACGATCTCAGCTCTAAAGCAGAATTCTCTAACTTGTTAAATATACAATTTAGAAAGCATAATCAGCAGCACTTTATGAATGGTTAATAAACTTTAATTGCACAGACAGGGGCAGACTGACAACTCATGGGGCCCCCGGGCAATAGGGGATCATGGGGCCCCTATGTCCTTGCCCAAACTCAAAAAAGCCTTTGAAAAAAGTGCTAGGGGCATCTCATGGGGCCCCCCACTGACCCCGAGCCCTCGGGCAATTTCCAAATGGTCAGTCCGCCCCTGTGCACAGATAAGATTAGTAGAGAAATATAAAGTGATGCATGAGCTGCCAAATTTATAAATCTATAGGGTATTAATCACTTGCTATATAAACATTCAGCAGAATGTCAATTATGCCAAACTATATACTGTATATGTATATGCAGTTCACCCCCTACTGTGCACACTCTTGTGCATGTTCCTGCCAGGGCTGGCTGTCATTTTGACAGCCAAATTCTTGGTCTACAAAGAATTTGGCTGCAGAGTAGCTCATAATTCAGTGTATGAGTAGCTCATACTTCAGTGATTACTGTAAAGAATTGTTAAAAGCAACTTTTCAAAATGTTACAGCTCCACTGCAAAGGATAATTTTGAAGTTGCCAAGAGTTGAGCTTAACCAGTTGCCGACCGCAGATAGCCAAATGATGGCTACACTGCAGCCGGCCAGTTCTGGGAGGGCGTCATATGACGGACACAGCTGATCATATGATGTGGTAAAAGGCCAATCACAGCGGCTTTTTACCACATGATCAGCCGTGTCCAATGACACGCTGATCACAGGGAAATGCAATTGACGGTTCTCGGCTGCACTTTCCTCACACTGTCAGATCATGGGGAAAGTACTGCTGAGAACCGGCAGTTGTCAGAGCAGAGATTGGCACTGATCATCAGGGCACTGATGATCAGTGCCCTGATGATCGGTGCCCAGCAGTGCCACCCACCAGTTCCACCCACCTGTGCCCAGCAGTGTCACCCATCTGTGGCCCATCAGTGCCACCCACCTGTGTCACCCAACTCTGCCCATCAGTGCCACCCACCTCTGCCCATCACTGCCACCCACACCTGCCCATCAGTGCCACCCAGCAGTGCCCATCAGTGCTCCTAGTCAGTGCCCAGCAGTTGTGCCAGTCAGTGCCCAGCAGGTGCGCCAGTCAATGCCCAGCAGTGCAGCCAGTCAGTGCCCAGCAGTGCAGCCAATCAGTGTCCAGCAGTGCCACCAGTCAGTGCCCAGCAGTGCCACCTATCAATGCTGACTATCAGTACCCATCATCAGTGCTGCCTATCAGTGCCACCTCATTAGTGCTGCCTATCAGTGCCCATCAGTGCCGCCTATCAGTGACCATCAGTGCCCATCAGTGCTGCCTATCAGTGCAGCCTCATCAACGCACATCAGTGAAGGAGAAAAATTACCTGTTTGCAAAATTTTATAATAGAAACAAAGAAATCTTTTTTTTTCAAATTGTTTGCTCTTTTTTTGTTTATAGGTCAAAAAGTAAAACACGCAGCGGCAAGTAAATACCACCAAAAGAAAGCTCTATTTGTGAGAAAAAAAAACGATAAAAATTTCATATGGGTACAATATTGCATGACCACGCAATTGTCATTCAAAGTGTGACAGCACTGAAAGCTGAAAATTGGCCTGGTAAGGAAGGGGGTATAAGTGCCCGGTAGGCAAATGGTTAAAGTGGTTGTAAAGGCTCAAGGTTTTTTACCTTTATATATTCAATGCAGCCCCCCTCAGCCCCCCTACACTTACCTGAGGCCCATCGCGATCCAGTTATGTGTACAAGAGCCTTGGCTGGCAGTCACCACTGTCTGCAACTGCCCTTCCAGTGCACACTGGTGCTCTGGGCTGTGGAGAGGGCAGCAGTGGCTGGCTCAGGCTCTCAGTGGCTCACTCAGAGGCTGAGCCAGGTGCCAGTCCATGCTCCTGGGTGGATCCTGACCATATGGTTGTGATCTTTCCCCAGCCTGGACAGTAGTGAAGTCAGACGACAGCAGACTTTAGTCCATTGTCGGTTGAAAACGGGTCACAGGAGTGCGAACTGTACTCTTATGATCCGCAGGAGAAATATAGCCAAACAAACTTTGGCTGTACTCCTCTTTTAAATTTGCCACTAATTGCACCAAATTTTCTTTAAAATATTTGTAAGAAAAAATTTCATGTGGTTTTGAAATGAGTTTGTTTTTTTATTTGTTGGTGTATTTTATTTTGATTATATCTTCTCAAAAAGCAAAAAGAGACAGTAGTCAAATATTGTATTTGTATTTTTGCTTTGGTGACAGAGATCCCCCTGCGCTACTATGGAACCTCATTTCTATATGCTGCTAACACCCTATCCTCTACCTATAAATGGACAAATATAAGTGATAAAATATAAATGGTGTGTAGCACTGATAGCTAAATGTGCAAACTCCACAATAATAAGATAAAAAACATAAATCACATAAATGAATGAATATAAATATATAAGTGATAGATCTTTCAAGATCTAGAAAAACAGTGTCTCAAACTGTGATATTATCAGTACACAAAGTGCATATGATGAAGCTGGTCCTATGCCCGGACCTTCATACAGTGACAATACCCTAGTCCCACTTGGGACCAAACCACAAAAGACTAGGGTGCTATATACAGTGGATCCCAAAATAAGGGATATGATCACAAACAAAGTGAATGATATATAAAGTGTATCCCAAAATTGTGATATAAACCAAATAAAATGACTGGTGAATAATGTTAAACACAATATATAAACATAAACTTCATAAACGCATAAAATGATAAAAAGTGTCCAACAGGATAGCAAAGATGGCAATGACTGCCCAAATATGCCTATATCTTCAAACCACGTACTATAGTGCTGGTGCAGATGGTGAGCATATATCCTTAGATGGCAGGCATGCCCCCTCACCTCCTTACTGCGACCCAAAAGGGTCAACACGCCTCTTGGATCACTCTGGATCCTACAGGTACCAACTCTCCAGGTTTCCACTGAACCTCACTGGTAACTTCCTTCCA